TTTTTCTAGTTTTTTGTAAATAGTAACTTTTTCTCTTTAAATTTTCACAAAGTACATAATGTAAATATTCTTTTATTATTATTATTATTATTTTAATGATTTACAAACTTATTATTATTATTACATTATTCTTACTTTTCTTATTACTTTTCTTATTTACTGAAGGCCGATCCACAAAGAAAATTTCCGTTTTCAAAGATAGCCTCTAAAGTCTGTATCACGCCATCATTTAAATAATTCAGTGGATGTCGTTACACTTGTGTGACTTATGTTGAGCAATATCCATGGTTCCCGTGACCTAAACCACGTAAATTAATTTATATCTATTGAATCTATTGAAGATAAAAAATAAAGATTATTTTTACATAACAAGTTTATCTTTCTTGATTAATATTGTAGTACTACTCGTTCTTAAATATTTTTGCTCGAATCACGAAATAAATTTTGCCATTTTCGTAGAGAAATGTCGTATTCCATGAAACTATGAACTATAAACATATCGATTTCAAGACCGAAAATAATTGTTCCAATAAATGTTTTCAATACATGGCTTGCTAAAACAAATAGATCGTATGAGTGAGAACACAATCCGCTTGGAATTATTTGTAGACAGTGGCTATACACGGATCACCATGCATAGTTTAAGAGCGACTCTCCGCTTTGAAATTCGGTTCGCACAGTTGCTATAGAATCGGGGTAAAAACATTATTTACAAAACTGTTCAAAGAATAGAAACATCCGTTCGCGTTGAAGAATAGTTATAAAACACACGTCAGACGTTTTCAGAACAGGATTCGAACAAACAGAGAAAAGCATTTCTATGACAATAACAGCTTAAATAATAGTGCATTGACTCAGAATCTAATCGAGTTAAGGACAGTTCGAAGCGTTACCTGAAATCTTTTCGATGCCTTTGTACTCTTTGAGAGTTTTGAATTCATTCCAAAGCATTACCTAGTGTTTTTCTCTGTCCAGAGATCCTTTTCTAACCGATTGACTAAATCCAATTGCRATAAACTCTCGTAGCTTGTGAAGGAATGAGACGAAATATCTGAAGTACTTATCATATTACGGCTAGGATTACAAAGTTAATCATTAAATTGTAATGATTAAGATTAATGCGTTGTAAATCTTACCTCTTTCTTTCCCATATTGCTAGTACTTGTAGTAAGAGTTCAAATAAAAAATGCTCGTTCGAGTTATAAACACCGTCAGATAAAAGACATACATGTGTAGCCAGTTTACAACATGGAGGTTCAGTGGGAATCCGTTGGTATTCCAAGCGGCGAATTAAAACGTGCGTTTGTCCAGAGGATAAAAAAAATGTGTCGGCAAGCAGAGGAAAATAGGTTACTTAGATCATAGGTGATAAACAATTATTATTTGACACTAATCTTCTTATTGTTTACATACTAGAAGAGGTGATTTTGACATAAATTTACATGATAATGAAGAAATCAAACAATCCAAAAAGCCAAATACTAAGGGCAGATAAATAACACTTGAAAACGGATGTTAGTTAAAATAAGAATGGGAATGAGGAATGGGGAATGACCGGGAATGGGGAATGACCGGGAATGGGGAATGACCGGGAATGGGGAATGACCGGGAATGGGGAATGGAAGACTGTGACGAGCGATCAGCGGCATTACCCTAAAAAGGAGGGAGAAGGCTGGAGTGGTGCTGAGTTCGAGTACCGCTGTGGCCACTAGCTGAGACTGTATTTGTCCTGGTTTCTGATTAGTTCAAACTCAGTTTCTGGACCATGCTTGAAAATAGCCAACTGGTTTGCCTCTTGCCAGTTGGGATTCTTAAAGATTCTTTGACTATTTTTTMATTTCAGTTTCATTTCAGTGTCCCCAATTAGTCGTATAAACTAAATACATCGACGCTTTACCGGCAGTAATCAAGTTAATTTGTTTTTTGTCATGGCGCTTGTGCTTGCAATCTAGCTTTTTTTATAATGAAAAATTTCCCATATATTCCACGGCAGTGGTTCGTTATCTTACTAAAAATGTCCGATAAAAAGGGGTGATAATCATTAAGTATTACTTTTAGTTTTTAGATTAATATTCAGCTAAATTCATAATTGTTCATTTTGCACTTCTATATGAAAGAACAAAGTATGCAGCCATATGATTCGGAGAAGATTACCTCCCAATAAATTTAGTCAAAATACATTATTTAATACTTCAAAAACTAACAGTTCTAAGGCACAAAAATTGTTGTTCAAAGTTTGTTTACGAAAGTCATTTTGGTTTCTCTTTGAGCGAATTTTTAAATTCACTAATTTCACGTTCTCGCGTCCGGTTAAATGGCCAAATTCATTTTTAATTAAAATTTATTTTTTCCGAAAATAAATTGTACCAGTATACTAGCCTAATAGTAGGCTTTCTTCAGGCCAAGTTTGAGGTAAGGCGAATTTTGGGTCATTTCCAGCTTTGTTCGATCCTTGCACGGACTGCCTCTTAACTTATAAACTTATACACAAGCTAGACTGTTATTATAAGATATTCAATATAAAACGTACTTATTAGTGCATATTATTATACAATGTTGTTTCATATATGGACCAAGTAAAATCATTCTAGCTTGTCTATAAAGTTAATAATGTTAATAGTGTAGTTTCTTTAGTCATATAAAGACACTGATCCAAGCCTAATATATTCAATACAACTACTTAATGCATTTAATGTTATCAACGTTGATGAACGCTCAATTTTATTGAGTTTAAGGTTATTACTTTACAGACGGAAAATCAAT